CACTGAGCAATATAACTGTGGGCTTTAGCCTGTCTGTGCTCTGTTGACTGCAAAGTCCACCTGCCAAGTACATTCCTTTTAGACCTTTCACATAAAGGAAGGGCTAAAGGCACAGGTATAGATATGGCCACGCAGAAAGGACACAGAGAGAAGCAGGGAGGTTTGGATTCTGGCTCCTAGTGGTGTGCCTCTCTGCAGGTCATCTGGTCTACCTGCCCCTGTAGTCACTTAACAAGAAGTAGGGGTGATATTTTTTTGCTTGTTGTGTTGAGTTTTGAATTCCTCTGGAGATAGGACAACATCCTACTGCATGTTCGTGCAATGGTTAATTGGGGATAAGCCCAGCTTTGGCTGGGCCTATGGGTAAATCATGTGGCATTCAACCCAAATCTTTCTGTCTTCTGATTTAGCATCTGAACAATGCATGGGAGTCGGCGTCCTGTGGGAAGATCGAGGATCAGATGGCTCTGTCGGATCAGGCACGCAAGTACATGGCCACCTTCCCCACCCGGACTCTGGTGATGTGAAAGGTCGGCAGATAGAGAAGCATTATGGTTTTGAGAACACTTCACCTCTGCTGGGAAATTTGTGTTCCTCTGCATGAAAACTTTTCATGAATGGGAGAAGAGCCTATCTTTGTTGTGGTACAACAGTTGGGAGCAGCACAAAGTGCATTTAGTCACTCAGCATATATATTCTTGTTGGATTTCACCCAACTTAAGAGGATTTTTTTTTTTAATGATACTTACCTAAATTATTAGGTATTAAGTTTGAATCAGTAATTAATGATCTTAAGTGCAGACTTATAATAAAGATGATTTTTCTTGTACTTTTTGAGATCAAGCAGACTTAATACACCAGTATTGTTATTTCAGTGATGTGCTAGCCAGGGGTGGGGTTTTGTTTGTGCCATTTTTAATTTTTTTTAATAATAAAAGAGCAGGTACTCAAACAGATATATTTTAAATCACTGAACAAAATGCATTGGTGTAAAATACCGAAGTGAAAAGCATTACTACAAACGCTTGTCGGTGCAAAAGGGGAAAACTGATCAAGATTGTGAATGCTCAAACATCCATGTCTCTTGAAATACTCTTCTGGTTTGGTTCTAGACCATTATACATTGCGTGGTCCTGTTGGGGGGGTGGGTAATTAGCTTGCTTTAAAAGAATATTACTGTATGAAACATAGATTTATGAGAAAAATTATATTTTTATTCAGTAATTTAATTTTGTAAATGCCAAATGAATACTGTGTTTTGCTGCTACAGACCTTAGCGTGTAGACATGCTGCTAGTGTAACAGGAGCAGTAGAGCTTTATATGGAAAGAAAACAAATGTTGATGTTAGCTAATTGACTATGCACTAGCATTTCAGACATTTTTGTTTTAATTTTTTTTTACGTCATTTATATTTTTTCCCCTTTTTTTATAAGCAATATTTTTGAACACTCTTCTTGGGAGATTTTTTTTTGTCTGGATATGTTGTTTTGTTTCTCATTGGTTTGTAACAGCATGCATTGCACCTTCATATGTTTGGGAGAACACTGTCTTGTTCATGTTGTCTGTTTTGTTCCATGTCTAGCTAGTTGTTCCCTAACTTGGGTCTTGTGTACTGAATCAGGTTCTTAGAAATACATGGGTTTTTTGTACTGCCATACCAAATCTTTATGGCAAAACACTGATTTTATTTTATTTTTTTATTGTTTGGGTTTTTTTATAACAGCCTCTGACTTTGCTGCCTTAATAGCATTTGGTGCAGCTTCATCTGCACTTAATTTTTTATACGACAATGTACTGCCTTGTAGATAAATAAAGTGTGTTTTTTACTTAAACTGGCGTGGTCTCCTAATCTTGTCTTTAGTGTTTTGGTGGTGGTGTTATAGGCAGCAGTCAAGACAAGAAGGTTTTTCCCAGCACACTCAAGTAAGTAAGGAATAAAGTTTTGCACACCATAGATAGCTTCAAAATCCTCAGTTCTCGCTGATTGTTAAGGAAGCGGAAGGAACACGGCACAAAACAGTAAGTACTGAGTGTGTTGTGGTCTTGAGGCACATCTGTAGTGACACCAAGGTCTGGGTCAGCTTCAGTACATGGGAAACTTACTGCACCTTTTGTGCAAAACTGCCCTTCTCCCAGAATGCTGGCTAATTTATTTTTTCATCTAACACTATCAGGTCAGGAACCAATTGAATAAAAGAATAATATTCTGGAGCTCCTATACTGTAGAACAGTCTTTTTCCTCCATGCTTGTCTTAAGAAAACAGAGGTGAGAATACACTTTGAAACCCTGGTGGATTATGGTGCACAGCAAATAATTGGGCAGACCTGCAGAGCCTCATGTGGTGTAAGGGCTGAGGACATTCAGCCCTAGGAAGACTAGAGATAAAAGCAGTTGCCAACAAAACAAAAAGAGGCAACCTGCCAGGAAAAAAAAGGCATTTTATTTAATAGCTTGAAAATAAATTGCGGTACTGTAAGTTGATGCAAACACTTCAAAGTCAGACTGATATTCATGAGATCAGACTTCAGCTCTGTGATGGAAGTAATTCCTATCTCCAAGTGTGCATAGCCACATATGGGCTGAGCCCCAAATGTGCCTTCCAGTCCCATTTTGTTCCTTCCCCAGCAGCCTGCCTAGTCCTCCCAGCTGGCCCTTGTGCCATGCAGTGCACAGATCAGGAACAAAAAGGCCTTTTTCACTCTCTGCAAGTGCCTCTTCTCATGTGCTTTTGGCTTTCAGCGTGAGAAGGGATCAGTGCTTGCAGCAGCCCCCTCCAAGGTTTGCCGTTGTTTCCCATCTTTACCCCATGTGTGGTTTGGACTCCACCAAATGCTGGGGGGCAGGGAAGGGCCAGCCCCGAGGCAGTTTCACAGCGGTTACTGCAGACAGGACTCCAGGGCTGGGCATGGAGTGCAGAGAAGGGGAAGTCTGCGGGAGCACTCGCCTGTGACAGAGCTGTGGGCTCATGCCATAAAAATGCTTGTGCAAGAGGTGAGGGAGAACTGGGGGACTTGGTGTGCAACGTGGGAAGAGGGAAAGGTCTGCCCTTGAGGCATGCCACACAGCTTAAGCAACGTGTTACAGCTTAAAAGAGAAAAAAATAGGGAAAATGAAGCACCAAGCTTACAACAGGTCTTCAAGGCAAAGCTCCTGCCCTGTAGGGCTCCAGTGGTAGCTGCACCAATTCTGGCTGAGTTTAAGCAGATCGTTATCCCAGGGCCAGGAACCCCTGCAGGTGCCCAGCATAAGCACTGGGCTCTTTTTCCCCCTACACCTTCAGTTGCTTTAAAACCCATTTTTAACATGTAAAACTATTAAAATAATTGTTTTGTTGATGTGCATGCTTAGAGCTAATACAGAAGAAAATATTTCTTTTTCTCCTTTCTCATGTCATTGAAAATACAAAGCACTCAGTAAATTTTGGCTGATTTGCATATGTTTCTGCAAGCATGTGGTGCTCAGCATGGGCAAAGGAAGAGGCTTTCTCTGGATGCTGTACCCAAGAACCTGATTATTTTTCCCCCACCACTACTAGCTAAGTTTCCTCTGTAGCGAAGTGCCACCTCTTACATGTTATTCTCACACAAATATCCCCATGTGGCTGTGCTCTGCTCTGTCTGAAATACACATCTTTCTTTTAGAGGCCCAAGAGAAATACTACCTGTCTGGTAAATTCCATCTTGAGCACCTATCCTGAGACAGGTCCGTCTAAATGGTCTTCACAACAGTTACTTGGCCTTGCTGTGGGTCTCTGCACAGGTGTATAGCCATCCCAGGCCCATTTAAACCTAGAGTAACCTACCAAAGTGAAGGGAAAGCAGGTTCAGTCAAGTTCTCATTTAATGGAGAGTAGATATTTGGCTCAAATTCCTATTAACCTTTTTCTTCACTGTAATTATAACTTAATAATGTGGTGGGAATTCTTTTGATTTCTGAAAAGAATTTAAATTATCATTTCAGCATGTGCCACTAATTAAAAAATGAAGAGGCAAAGGAACCAGGGCAAAAATAAAGGAAAATACCAGTGTGAGGTGTTTCCCATCTAGACCTGGTAATTCTCCAGATTTTTATGCAGAGAATCCCAGGGGTTCAACTCCCACAGGTCTGACCTATGTGACAGCTATAAGCCTGAACTGAAAAAGGGCCAGAGCTTGGGTTGGTTTGGGGAAAAAACATTACAGGTTGAATGAAAGAGTCAGACTTTGTAGTTAGGAACTAAAATAACAAATCTGCTGATTGTAAAGCAGAGAGCAAGCACGACATTGAATATTCTGTAGCATAGAGTGATCCTTCAGAAAAGCCAGAAGGTTTTTTCTCAGTATTTGTAATCTTGATCCTTACCCATACCAGCTAAGTCAATGGCAATCAGCCCTTCCTCAAGCCCACAGAGTCAGGCACACAAGCAGTGGGTGTTTCTGTAGCATTGTGACTGGAGCATCACAATCATCACCTCCTCTTACTCCTGCCACATTTAATTGTATTTCTACTTCAGCCCTGATTTGAAGCAGGCATGATGGCAAAGCACAGAAAAAAAACCCCCTTGTTCCTAGAAATCTGTTTAAAATGTGCTGGGGCTTGGGGTTTTTTTCTGTTGGTTGTTGTTTCATTTGTTTGGGTTTTTTTAAAGAGCATGTTAAAAATATTTCGGTTTGGGAAAGAATGATTTTGAGGCACTGGTCTGCATTTTGCCTGTCTCCTTGTTCCCTAGCAGGGCTGAAGTCAGTCAATAGACCAGGCACTCAGGGGCAATAGTGACATTCTGCCTGGGTGGCCAAGGAGAGACACTGGTCACATCTTTCAATCACCAGGCTAATGTCTTAATTCAAAAGGAAGTCGTGTTTCCTGACCAATGCACTTGTTCCCTTTGTTTGCCTCTTTTCTTTGAACTTGACTTTGATGTCTCAGAAGTTTTCTACTGAAGACCCTGCTACCAGCATAAACTTGTTTGTGACTTTTTTGCTCTCAGTGACTGATGGAGGAAAGATAATGAAGACAGACCATAGAGGTCCAAATTGTGCCTTCAGCTGTGTTTGCAAGCTGGCAGTGCTTATACAGCTCATTGTTAAGGGCTGCAAAACATATTCATTCTCCTATAATTTTTCCATAAATTATTTGTGATCAGGTTGTCAGGCTGTTGTTTTGGTTTTTTTACAATCCATGACGTTTCTAGAAAGCATTTTTCCAATCCGTTTGGGAATCAGAATAATTGCTGACTTTTTAATTGTTTGTACAAGAGCCTCTGCTTCTCAGACTGCATAAATCCACATTTACAGTCTAGCTCAACTCACACCCAAGGAAACTTCATTTCACGGGGAAACAAACTTTACTACTTGATTCAATCACCACAACTCCAAGACACAGTCTGTGCACACATCTGTCAGAGAAGCAAAGAAGAAAGTTTCAGGAAGCTCTCCACAGACAGGTTTCTACACTAACCATCAAGACCACCTCTGCATCTCCCGGTTCCTGCCAGCCCAGCTGCAAGCCTGCCATGGCCCTTCTGATACAGTCAGCCCCCAGAGAGCCTTGAAAGGGTGACTGCAGGTGTGCTTTCCTGCCCACTGCCTCTCTCATGTTTCATTAGCTCTCTCATCAGCATACATCAGCACAAGAGTTATCTGAAGGCACAGGGAGGCTGTGA